GACAGGTGGAGTTCAATTTTGTGCCAGGAATTGATTGAGAGTGTGGCCTGTGTAACCAGATATTCATGTGAAAGTCACCCTCCCTCAGAGGCTGGACAGACAGGGGCAGAACAAGAGCCACCTCCTTGCGGCGCTAAGAGGGCGCCAGATGCCCTCTGCCTAAAAATCCTCGGATACAGACTAGATGATCAAAGTGGAGCGCTCGGGAGTTTTTATCTGGGTGGGTAGAGCTTCATTTGGGGCCTTGCAGGGAAAGCTTGCGGCTGGAACAAGAGCGAACAGTCTGTTATTTAGTGTGAGTGTGTGTGAGGGCACGTTTGCATATAGTGCTCATCTCTTGTGTGTGCACGGCCAGTAGCTGTGACCCACTTCACCAGATCACCATCTTTCATCCAAACTGAGCTCCTTTTCGTTGCTGCTCCCCGTCCTCGCATCCATCAACGCCTACGTCCAGCATCTGACGGAAAGGAAAAATTCCCGTGTTGTGGTGGAGATAATGGTGCAACACCCAGCCTCTAAAATAACAACGTGGTCCAGAACAACAACACTGTCCGGCTTGGAGTGCAGGAACCCCCCGCACAATGGCCTAGTGTTCAGGGCCCAGGGACGCAGGCGGGGCTCCCCTGCCATCCAAGCTGTTGAACAAGCAGGAGAAGGAGGTCATAATCACACAGCAAGGCTCCACTTCCTTATCATATCCAGACAGACTAAGATTCACGTTGGATTGTTTTAATAGGGATGCACCAATACCAATACTGTCTGGTACTGGTTCCAGTACAACGTGCGAGCACTCATACGCCAAAATTGTACCGAAAACACTTTAAGCCAAAGTCACGTTCACCTCTCAGATGAGCAACTTTTTTCAATAAATGAATTAGTCATTCTTTATTAGTTGGTGGCAGTAATTTACCATGCCTCTGATGTGTGTCCCATCGGTGTATGAATGAGATCTAAAAGCAATGATTATTCTCTTTAGAAATATTTGTTCAATTAGCTTTGTACAGATCTAGTAGAGTGCTCTATGAATGGGTAAATGAGGCACAGATTGTAGTGTAAAGCGCTTTGAGTGTCTTGATAAGATAGAAAGGTGCTGTATAAGTACAGTCCATTTACATATTGATTTAAAACCTGACTAAGTTATCTTTTACCTTCTTCTTCAGCTTCATTCTCCTCTGAGTGTTTGGAAATGACAGTACCAGTTGTACAAGTGTTGTGTAACGGTGCTGCTTACTGATACTATTCTTCCAATCACTTATGTGAACAAGAGCTTTGAGAAAGTACTCTATAAACTTATGAAAAGCTCACACAATATGACAGCATTTTGAGGATTTGGGGGGGGGGGGGGGGGTATTTTCAGTGAGAGTAACCTGGATTTAAATGTCTGCCTCTTTGTTTTTCTTCGTGCTGGTGAAAGACTGATCCGTTTGCTTCAAAGAGTTGGAACTGAACGTTGAAGCTTAATCTTTCAGGTTTCATCATACCGTGTGTGGGAGGTCTGAGGGGGAAGTTTCAAGTATGCTATTTGTTTTAAGGTGCAACTCAAGATCTAAGAAAAAATATGTAGAACGTGTACATATGTAAACACGTATTTTGTGTCTAATGATGATTTTTACTTTAATATCTTATATGAATGAGTTGGGTAAAGATCGTTTTTCGCTAATTCTTCTGCCAAAACTGATTCTAAGGCAAATAGGAAAGAAAGGATGCTACCAGCTGGAGCTCATGGCACATGCTGTCCACATTCCTTCCTTATGACTTTTCCATTGACCACCCGATTTGCATTTGATCCCCTTATACTTGGCTAAACTCTTCTGAAAACCACAGCAGGTCAGAGGTGTGACCCCCTCGGTTTTGCGGCACTAAAGTTTTTCGACACATTCTTACTACGTCTTCAGCTAACCTGCTCCAAACATGATGGGGATGGGTTCAAAGGTCGGTAGGAGAAGGGTATCTTGGGTCATCGGCAGTGGCCTAGAGGCCTGAGTAGCCGAGATTGGGCGTCTGCTCTCATTGGGTTAATAGGATAAGTGGCCTGCAGGTCACTTTGGCCCAGTTCTAATGCTAATACAGGAGCTTGTCTCTGCTCTGTTGCCAGGATGGAGAATAAATCCTGGATTTAGGGACTCCACTTGGTTACAGTTTTAATCCAGACATGTTTGAGCTTATCATTATTTCATCCTTATGAATGGGTGTGCATGCTAATGACTGACTTCTGTTTTTCTCTCCTTCGTTTTCTTTCTTTTTTGTGAGTGCGTTACATTTTTATTTTTTTTGCTTTCTTGAAGCGACTGACTGTGAAGTGATTGTGGGATGTGTTATCTTTAAACTTTTCTCACAGCTGCCTCTTGGGAGTAAGTGCTAGCTCATCCACAGACTGTGATTAGAAAAGTCTTAAGCAGTCCCTTGATGTCGAAATGGTAGATTTTTTTTTTTTTCCATTTTAAATTATTATTCTGCTCTAACACCACCTTCCCACGGTCAACACAACCCTGTAAAGTAAGAAAGTGCTTTGAAATCAGCGCTTTTGTTTGAAATTACAGAGACAATCTTTTTCTTGTTTTGGGCTCTTGGAGGGAGTTGGTGCTTGAGATGTGTGCGATCCTTTTACTCTTAATCCACTCCTTAGACACTGTGTTGGGGCTGATTCTGATTAGCTTTTTGGCAAAGAAGTGGGCCAATTTAGTGGCTTTAAGTGTAATAAAAAGGCATCTGAAAAAATCTGATGGATGGTGTTTAGAGGGCTTTGCTTTAAAACATCTGCATTCACTTTATAATCTACAAAGACACCCAGTCATTGTGATGTGTGCACAGGTAATATAGGAGCATCAATCTTTTTTCCCTCATAATTCAGTAAAAATCAACATATTTGGCAACTCACAAAGGTTAAAATCTTGCAGATCGGATATTATTTTGAGTTTGAGACGTTAATGCTATTAGGCTCTTTAAGTAAATTATTAAAGACCAAACTTAGAGAATTTATATTTTCTGTGAAAATGTGAATGCTGGCTGTTGATTGACTGTTGAACTGTGCTGAAGAAGCTAAAACTAATTTGTTGAAACTAAAGCAAACGCACAAAACAATAATTAAAAAAAGCAAAATGTCAGCCAAAAGTAGCGCTAGGCTAGCTAAAAGTAGCAAAAGCCAAAAGTGTCAAAAAGCTGGCCAAAATATAAAAAGCAAATTACTAGTTAAAAGTAACAAAACAGAAGCTAAAAGTTAAATGTATCAAAAAGTCTAGCTAAAAGTAGCAAAAGCCACTTTGCCATTGATAAGCGTGACTCCACTCTGCTCTCGTCTTATAGGGTCTTCTCAGGTGGAGGTGATTTGTCACTGTGACTTGTTTCCCTTCTCTGTAGGTGGTATCTTAACAGGTCATTGTGTTTGAACCACTCCACCTGTTGTGGTCCTTAATCACCCTATAATCAGATTTAATTTTTTTTAGCTTATACTGGCACTGCTTATGTAGTGGTATAGCCATCCTGCACCATCATCTCCAAGGTTCAAGGTGACTTTACTGTCATTCGCATCACATGTGGTACATGAGGTGGAATGAAATTGTGTACTCAAGGTCCCAGTTACACCCAAAAATAGCACAAATATAAAGTATATTAAAGAAAAGAAGTAACAGTATACAAGGATCTAAGATATATGCTATATATAGATATATAGATGTATTTGATATCTCTATAATAATAGTAATAATCTATCCATCCATTATCTTTTACCCACTTCTTCCATTTTGGGTCATGGGGGTCGCCGATGCCCATGTCCAGCAGTCACTGTGTGAGGGGCGGGGTACACCCTGGACAGGTCTCCAGTCCATCACAGGGACACATAGAGACAAACGAGACAAACAAACATTCACTCTCTCACTCACACCTAGGGACAATTTAGAGTTACCAATCAGTCTAACATGCATGTTTTTGGTCTGTGGGAGGAAACTGGAGTACCCGGAGAAAAACCACGCATGCACGGAGAGAATATGCAAACTCCACCCAGAAAAGCCAAATGCTAGCAAGAAGCTAAAAGTAGCAAAGGGCTGACTAAAAATATTAAGTCAAGTCACATTTATTTATATAGCACATTTAAAACAGTAATTATCAAATATATATATGTTATCAAAGTGCTTACCAAAAAAGATCACAGCATCAAATATTAATAACATATTACAGCAACATGAATAAAAACATAAAAACATGAAATATTATGAGAAAGAATGAAATACTAAATCATATCACCCTGCGTTAAATGTCGGGGTGTAAAAGCAAAATGGATGAACACAATCATCAACAATGAAATACCAAATGAGATCACACTGTGTTAAATGTCAGGGAGTACAGATGTGCTTTGAGGAGAGATTTAAAAATAGAGACCGAGTTGGCCTGTCGAATGTTGATGGGCAGATTATTCCAGAGTTTAGGGCCCTTGACTGAAAACGCCCGCCTGGTTTTTGGTACGGCCAAAAGCAACTGGTCTGATGATCTCAAGGCCCGAGAAGGAGTATAAGGATGAAGGAGGTCTGAGAGGTATGAGGGTGCAAGGCCATTAACACACTTAAATGTCAGCAGAACAATCTTAAAATCAACTCTGACGCGCACAGGAAGCCAGTGAAGAGAGCTAAAAGCTAAAAGTAGTGAGAGCCAAGCTAAAAGCTTTTAAAGGGTGCCTAAATTAAACTATAGAAATGGTAGTTAGAGGTACCGAAGTATAGCAACTATGGAGAAATACATTTCAATATTTTAAAGTGTTTATAGGGGGAAATATTTGTAAATAAAATCAAATATTTAGACAAGTCAATAAGTTACAAAATCCAAAAGTCAGATGTACAAACCCAGAAAACTGATCCCAAAACAAACCTGAAACTGTTTGTGGAGTTTTATTTTACTCTACTAGTGTTCGTCTCAACGCTTGTCATAGTTTTTATTTTATTGTTTTGTTTTGTTTTTTGGAGAAACTTGCTCTCTTTAAGTTTCTTACCAGTCGTGTGTCCCATTTTCAGATGCATCCTTTGGGACTGTGCAATAATAATGATGAGGAGGACCTTTACGAGTATGGCTGGGTCGGAGTGGTGAAGCTGGAGCAACCGGAGCTGGACCCGAGCTGTCTCACAGTCCTGGGAAAGGTAAAAACGCTGGCTGTTTACGTCTTTATGTTGCTGCTGTGTTCCTCATGATTTGCACAGATCGTTTATATGTTGGTCATCAATGAACAAAGTATTTATAGTATCTGTGTGGTATACTGCAGGGGCTTTTTGTTTGTATAAATATGCTGTGGGATGCATGACCTCCATCAGAGAGCTTCTCTTTACCATTTCATTGGATTGGAGTCATTTTTGACAAGAAAGCAAGTTAGCAGTTTTAAAGTAAACCATATTTATGGTAATAAATAATTGAATTCATGCTAGCAAGTTGTACGGGCAAGTCTAGGGTAAAATTGTTTCTGCTTTTTAGCACCAGGACACTGATTTCCTAGATGTGGGTTAAAAGCATGTTCAACGTGAGACATGTTTTTCTTTACCTTTTGGTCTAGAAAATTGTACTTTGTTGTTTTACTTTAAATGAAAAGCCACTTTTATTATTTTGGTACGTGAATAATTTGAAAGAGTACTAACTGCTTTCCTACTGAGCCTAAATAATTGAAAAGTAGTAGCCTCAACTACTACCACGCCAACTTTTAGCTCAATATCTGTAAAAATGACTGTTATAGCCATTGCTAAGGTGGCCATCTTGAACAGAGTGGAGACATCAAGTGGATGAGTTGAAGATGTGCATACGTTGATTACTTTCTGAGAGTTTCAATAAAACATGTGCCCTGGTTCAAGAGATATTTTGCCAACAGACATACAAACACACGGACACTAACGGGCAGTTTTAGGATTCCACACCAAGTCAAAGGAAACGGCTTCTGGTGTATTTAATTAAATAATTTAATACAGCTGACCTTCCGTAAATTCAGATAATCTTATTATTTTTGTTTTGTTTCTTGCTTTCCATTGCGGGGAGAGTAAAGATAAACTGTTCCTCCACACCCATCCCTTCACCCTCCCCTCACTGCCTCCCCACTGTGCTCAGACCTCTTTGGAGTCTGTGAGTTTCATTGTGCTTTAATTAAGTGGTTCTCTTAATGGATTGTACCAACATTTCCTGGAGGAATAAGATTGGGCGGTGGTGGGGCGGAGGCGGGGGGGCATGCTGCAGTCCCATTTATCTTGTGCATTCCTGGTGACAGAAAGAGAGCAGTCATTCATGATTTAAGGATCCCTCGTGGTACATAGACATGTTAATGCACTCTGCTCAGCGATGGTCTGCTACCTGCCTTATGCTGAACCCCATAAACTTATGTAACACTCAGCAGAGCTTCGTCTCACCCGTCGCAGACGAATTTACTCATTTTTACTCTCTGGTAAGTGGGCTTCACTGAGGGGATGCCTGTGGCCGCGGAGCCATTAGAACCATTTCAGGGTGAACTTTCTGCATAGCAAGTTAAACCGCAAGAAAAAGGATGTGAACAGTTTCCTTTCAGGACGGCAGAGTTGTCATGAGTTTGGCCTGAAGGAGGAAAATATCTGATTTTTTTATGGTTATTTATAGGCTGAAGACAGTTTCCCATTTCAGACGTGAGACATTAAAGAGCTCGTAGATCTCAAGAGTCGTGGCATTCAGTCATTCAGGCGTGAGTCACGTTGACGTTAACTCGTCTCGAGTTTTCAGACAGTGATGGCGAGACGGTTCATTATCAGGTGAAATATGACATAAAAGTTCCTCTACAGCAAAAATGCAAGCGTGCATTCTTAACATCAGCACAGGCAACTCCGAAGGACTCGGCTCATTGGTTCACTTGAGGGATTCAAGGATACAAGGTTCTTTATTGTCATTCACATCCCATGTGGTACATGAAGTGGAACAAAACTGTGTACACGGGGTCCCAGTTACATCCAGCAATAGCAAAAAATATGAAGTGTAAAAAGAAACAGTAAATTAGGATCTAAGATGTACACTAAGATATACGCTAAACAAACGCCCAATGGTACGCTAAAAGATATAAGCTAGTTACTAATAGTGACCACTATTGGTGACTAGCTTATATTTATTATTAGATACTATTAGATACTTTTATGATTTGAAGACCTAGCATTCTTTTAAGGCAGGGGTATTCAATTGGTGGCCCGGCTCCCAAATCAGGCTCATGGGTGAACTCAGTTTGGCCCACCAGTGGGTTCATTGTTTAAATAAAACTAGATTTTAAACCTAGGCATACACGATATTATCGGCATGGTATCGGTATCGGCCAATATTAGCGATAAAGTTAAATATTGGACATCGGCCATTCCACCAAAATAATTTACAGATATACAAGGTGCTGTTTTAATTTTTTTATTTTTATATATACATTATATATTTAAAAAGTGTTGCAACATTTTCAGCCCCTTTTTTGGCATCTGCATTTGGTAGCAGGACAAACTGACAAAGACCCTGCAGAATTATGTAGTATTTTAATTCCACAGCAGAGAAAGCTATGTAGTCTCTGCAAGTAGGTCTATGAAAAAATATATTGGTGTTTGTATCGGTTATCAGCCAAATAAGTTTGAACGTATTGGCGTATCATATATCGGCCAAAAATCCAATATTGTGCATTCCTATTTAAAACATAAAACAAACTTACTTAATGACAATAATGGCTGGATGTCCAGCCCCTGAGTTCTTGGCTTTCAGTAACTGTGGTCCCCTGAGCAATTTAGTTGAATGGTCCTGTTTTAAGGAATGCATCGCACCCAGTCATCCCATTTCATTCAACGGTTTTAGACTAAGATCATATTATGCTGGGAAATTACATAATTATAGCTGTTTTGATCAAACTGTATAAATAATGCTCTATGTGATCTCTTGTGTGAGGTCTCGGTAGATGTGTTAGCACTCAGCTACTAGCACACCAAAGTTAAGCCCAATACTTGTAAAATTAACAGTTACAGCCATTTTTGCCATTTTTTTTGATAACGGTACTCTCATTAAAGAACTACGTGTTCTCATGTTTAAGGTTATAGCCGTGTACAGAAATGGCCTGTACTTGTTTTCTGTTAAAGCTGAGCTAAAGAAGCTAAAGAAAAAGAGTTGTATGAAACTGAAAGTCTGTTTTCAGCCTTTGCCTGACCTGAAAGCCAAGTCTTTGTGAAACGGGTAGAAGTGCATCCACAATATGTGCCCTTGTCAGAACTCCATAACATTTTATTTTCAGGGATCTTGAAGTTCACCATGCAGATAAAAGAAAAAAATAAAGTCCTTTATGGTCTTGCCCAAATCTTCATGGTCTCCTTTTCAAATTGCTAGGGGAGAAAATGGTGTGATTTTGGGGGGCATTAGCTGGGCTTTGGAAAGCTTGGTCAGCTGCTCCTGCATGTAAACAACTTCCCAGTTGTCATGGTTACTCAGCATACCAGAAAAAAGGTTTAGAAAGTCTGAAAAAGACACAAAGAAAAACAGTTTCAGTAGAGCCACTGCAACAGACTACCACTTGGGTGGTACCAGTCTAAAGCTTGAATATAACCCAGAGTCAGATCAGGATGGAGATTAGATATTGTGGAGTACATGGTACCAAAGCTGACAGCATAGCCAAAAGATCTGAAATCCACTTTTTTTTTTTACTCTGTGGAACCAATCAAATCAGACCCTGGAAATTATTCCACTCATGTTTTTGAAGTTGAAGTTGAAGCGACTCTCCGGTGAGGATGGCAGGAATCTTGTCCTGGGACATTTGGCCTCCACCCAGACTCCCCAACCTTTAGACCACTCTGTTTCCTCTGTATTTTGGCAGCCAGAACTATAATTGGAGAAGGAAAAGCCCATTGTTGCGTCCCAAAAAACCTCACCCGGGACCCGAACACAGCTGGGTGCTTTGCGCTGGCACCAGTCGGACAGTGCCGAATCTACCCCCTGCCAATCTGCTCAGTCTGCTCAGCCGGCCAGGCAACAATACCCAGCTCCACCACACTCACCCCGTTTGGTCTGGCCTTAAGATCTGGGACCCCCCCCCTTCCCAGTCCTCCCCCTTACCCAACTGGCCCCTGACTGAACCCATTCTGCTTTGCAGCCACTTTGCTACCAATGTTGTTGTTTTTTTTTGGTCAATTTGGATTCCATCCAATTATAGAGTTATTGTGAACACACAAAACTGAATGTAAGTGAGGGTAACGGTGTTTATTCACACCAAATTTTAATTAACGTAAGCACCAACAAATTGCACAAGGTCTTTGTGTAAAATGTTGGATTCAGCTGTGACTGTTAGCTAAATATATTATGAACCATAGACTGTCATTTAATGATACTTGCAGAAAGTAATAATCACTGGAGATACAAGTACAGTTCATTAACCTTTGGAGTCAACCCAGTTCAAAATGGCTACCAGAGCTAACTGACCTTTGTAAACACAAAAATGACTAAAGTTACATTGATTTTACAGATATTCACTGAAAGTTTGGTTTACATGTAGGTGAGAGTAATGTTTGACACATATTTCAAGAGCTTTGCTTAAAACTTTGTTGGAGTCAACTTTGTCTGTTAACAAAATATCTTGTATACCACTGGACTGGTTTTATTGAAACTTTCAGAAAGTACCCATTAAGTTGACATTTACAGCCGTTTCTTTTTATATATTTTTTTCATTTACGCTTTATTTATCCAGGTAGTCACATTGGGTCACGAGAACTCATTCAAGAGAGAACTGTTTAGGGAGCAGATGGGGGTTAAGGGTCTTGCTCAGGGGCCCAGAGAGGGGTGAATGAGGGTGGAGGCAGGTGTGGGTGTTTCACCTTTTCCACCCACATTTTGATGTTGACAGTACCGGGAGTTGAACCTGCGACTTTCCGATCACAGGCCCATCTTCTAACCTCTGTGCCACCACTCCCCCATCTTTGGCGTCAGTAAAATTCAAGATGGCCACCACAGCTAATCAATGTTAGCAGCACATAAATGGCTATAATTCAGTTAGTTGTACAGATTTTAAGCTATAGTTTGGTTTGACGGTGACTGAGGCCCTTTCGTAACAAATACTCTGTGTCACTTCTACTAATGCAAAAAACAAATTTTGAACTAAATGTTTACAACTTTAATTATCAAAATAAAATCATCT